GGGGGGGACACTTCAAAACCAGAGGGTGCCCGGTCTAGGCCTGGGTCTGCTTGGCTCCCACATTTCTCCACTTAAACTGGTTGGAAGCTGAGGATCCGGGGGGTGGGGTGCTGTGAAGGAGCAAGGGGGTTATGTGCCTTGCGTTTTCCCACAGAAAAACCTCAGGAAGTGAGGATCTGTGGGTCTGGACTCCGTCATAGGAGCTCCAAGGGGGCCTGGAAGAAGGAAGGAACCCTCAGGTTTCTTTTCTCCCTCCTCAAAACAAACAGACAGACGGAGCACCCAGACTTTTCTCTTGGACGGTCCGGCCAACATCCTCCCACCATTTCGCAGCTCTAGCCATTCCCCAAATTCTTGGCAGCTTTTCCATATAAGCAGCATTTTTAGCAGCCCGAGGACAGTGAGGCAAGTTCCCACCCCCACCCCCCTGGAGGGAAGGGGGTGAAGGCCCCTGTGTGCGTTTCCTCCAAGAGGGAGGAGGGGGGGAGGGCTGGAAGGGGTTCAAGTCGGGGAGGGAGAGGAGCAGTCCTGGTTTCTTCAGCTGGGCATCGTGGGAACTCTCACACAGTGATGCTCACGCCTCTGGCCAGGCCCCGGTGTGCCCACCCCACCCCACCAAGCAGGCACCCACACAGAGTACAGTAGGAGACCGTGGTTCGTGTTAATTGTCCAGTGGGACCCTTTTAAAGGTTCTCTCTCCCCGCCACTGTGGAAGCGAAGCCAGCCCTCCCGCATCTGGGATGAGGGGAAGCCCTCCCTTCTCTGCCTCCCTGGTCTCTCCTCACAGCTGGTCAGACAGGAGAGTGAGAAAAAAGGCTGTGGCCAGCTTGTTCTTCTTGTGGATGGCTGGGGGGTGGGGTGGGGGTGGTTTTACTCCCCCCCCCCCCCCCGCAGTTAGCTTGCTCTCCTCCCAGCAGCTGCCCTGATGCTGGGATGAGAACGTGAAGCCTGCCGAGGGGAGGACAGGCCCTTGACTTCCGTCCCTGGCACAAGGCCTGCAGCTCAGCCTGGCTCACGGCTTGCTTGTCCCCCAGTCCCTCTGGCAGGGACCGTTTTAAGGAGAGCCTCCCCCACCACTCCAAGTGCTACCTGACAGTGGCCTTGTCTCTTTTTCTGGAACACGGGAAGGGTGAGCCACAGGTACTCTGTCAGAGACCCACATATGGTTCCTGAGCTACTGCGGATCATTCTCTAGAAGGAATGTGGAAATATTGGCACTGCAAGTCAAAAAGAGATTAAGCTAGACTACTGCGCTATGCATGCTGCCTTTGAAGACTGTATTGCTGTTGCTGTTCAGTCGCACAGTCGAGTCCGACTCTTCGCGACCCCATGGGCCAGATCCCGCCAGGCCCTCCTGTCTTCCGCCGTCCTCTGAAGTTGGCTCAATTTCATGTTCGTTGCATCGATGACACTGTCTGACCATCTCATCCTTTGCCGTCCCCGTCTTCTTTGACCTTCAGTCTTTCCCAGCATCAGGGTCTTCTTCTCCAGCGAGTGCTCCCTTCTTCTCATTGGGTGGCCAAAGTATTTGAGCTTCAGTTTCATTATCTGGCCTTCCAGGGAACAGTCAGGGTTGATTTCTTTTAGGATTGATTGAAGACTGTATTATTGCCTAGTAAAAATGACAGCCCATCTTTCATCTTTGTTCTAAAGCAGTTGTGTTTACTTACTTGCTTCTGGGCTCAGTTCAGAGTGCTGACTAGGACCCTTGAAGGCCTACATGGTCTTTTCTTTGACCAGAGCATTCTCAGGAACCTGCCCAATGACCGCAGTTATCCTCGGGTAGCCTACTCACTGGGTCTGAAATAAGTTAGGTGAGCGCATGAGACAGGACTTCTTTTGTGGTGGCAACTTGATCACGAAATACCCCCTCCCCAGAGACGTTTGGGCAGTGGGAAGGGGGCACAAGGTGTGTTTGTTTACCTAAGATGTCTAGTTTGTTCTATGATGATTTCATGTTAGTCTTTTACAGTCTGTAGGTGTTGGAGTTTCAAGTTGCTTACACTTCAGTCATTACAGAGTTAAGTGTTGTTTGTTAGGAAAAAGGATGTTACGTTACATAATGTATTCTACAGCGGGAAAGTTTGAGGGAGTTGCTTAGCCTAATGAAGTGACCTGTAACCTTTGTATTGGTCAACTAACAACTTGTTTGTGGAAATGCTTTGAGCTAGCATTAATGTATTCACAAGGTTTGTGGCCCTTTGTGTGAAGCACACAGGAAGCTCTCTCCTGTAGAAAGATGTAGGTGTTAGTATGTAGTGCTGAAAGTAACTGCAAGTATGTAACCTTTTGTTTTATTTCTTTTTATCCAAAGTACCTTACCCATGCTTTGTTTTGTTTTGTAGTAAAGATATTTTTCTGTTCACTAATGTGACTCTTGTGTTTGCAAAACAACCGTCGATCTTGAATCTCAGAATCCCAACAGTAGGCCACCTTGACTGGCTTTTTGGAGGGATGCAAAGAAAGAAAGCCCTCAAGTATTCTGTTGCCTTCAGGTCCCTGGCCGTGGCCGAAGAAATGTGCAGCCTTATCCCAGAGAAGAAATGCCGGCAAGTGCAAGAGGACCCAGATCCCATTATGAGAGGTGGGCCCCTGTGCACTGTGCCCCCCCCCCGGTTAGAGCCAGGAATCCCCCCCCCTCCCTCTGAAAGTGAGAGCTGGAGGCCTCTGTCCGCCCATCTGATGCTGCCTGGGACTTTTCAGGGATTTCCCCCCCCCCCGCACCTTTGAGGCAGGCGCACCGTCCTGATCACAGGTTGTACAGTTTCCGGAAGAGGCAGCTTTGGTGCGTTCCTCAAGGCTTGTGTAAGACGCTGGCCAGCTGGTCACATGCTTTGTTTCCTTTAGAAACCAGGACACAACCTCTTGAGTCATGTGCTGGAATGTTGTTTCTAGTGCGTAATCCCCTGTTTTTCTTGGAGAAAAGTTCAGGTACCCAAGACTATCAAATTCGTGATGACCAGGGCTAGGGCGTTTTCGGTAGCGGCTCCTATCTGGTGGAATGAGCTCCCAGAGGAGACCTGGGCCCTGCGGGACCTCATACAGTTCGGCAGGGGCTGCAAGACGGAGCTCTTCCGCCAGGCTTTTGAATAGGAGCCGCCGCCACCACTGTTCCACCAACGCCCTATAATTCCCACACACTGTCATCACTAGTGCGGGCTCCATTGGAGGGAGTGGGGTACGGTTAGGCAACTATATTATGGAGAATACCATCTTGATTGTAAGAATTTGGATATGAGTAGAGAGCACCGGAAAGTGTTTTAAGGACTTTTGTTAACTATTTAATTGCTTATTTTGTAATTTTAGTCAGAATTTTTTACTGTTTTATTGTTATTATATCTGGCGTTATGCCCCTGTTAGCCGCCCTGAGCCTCCGGGGAGGGCGGGATAGAAATCTAAATAAATAACTAAATACCTAGTCCTTAAGGCTGCGAGAGTGTGGGAGTCGGGTCCCGCTTCACCACCTTCTGTCCCTCTCCTAGGCTGGCTGCAGAGGGAGGTGCGGGGGGGTCGAAAGGCCCCTTGGTGGCGTCCCCGCAAGTACTGGTTCGTGCTGACCCAGGAGTCCCTGGACTGCTACAGTGGGTGCGAGGTGGGGGCCCAGCGCCTGGCCTCCCTGGTCCTGACCAGCCTCTGCTCTGTGCTGTGGCCTGACAAGCAGACCTACAAGGAGACGGGTAAGGGGGGGGGTGCTTCGTGGAGGGAGGGCCGCGCAGGAGGGACCCTTGGCAGCCTGTACCCCCCCCTCCCGGCTGCCAGGACTGTGGGGCCGGGTTCAGTGGGAGTCCAAGGCGGCTGCCTCTCCTGCCTCCTCCCAAATACTTGCATGCCCCTCTCCCGCAGGGTACTGGGCAGTGACCGTTTTTGGCAGGAAGCACTGCTACCGGCTGTACACAGAGCACTTGAACGAGGCCGTCCATTGGGTGTGCGCCCTGCAGAAGGTCATTGTCAGCCAGGCCCCTGTGCAGACCCCCACGCAGCTCTTCATGTCAGACCTGGAGGTGAGGGCTCTGTGTGTGTGTGGGGGGGGGGGGATGGTCCTTCAGGTGGTGAGAAAAGAAACAGATGGCAAGGCTTTGCAAAACGGTGTAATGCAGTCAATGGTCACCCTTGGGGGGGGAGGAAGGCCCCCCCAGCCCAGCCCCTCCCTGGAAGCCCCCTGCTCGCATCCCAGCTGGGCTGGTGCAGGCCGTGGATGCCCCCTTAAGAACGGGGGGGGAGCGCTCTGCACGCCCTTCCGGCATTCAGGACTTCTGCCTTTCGGGGCCAGGCCGTCTTTGGGAAACGGCTGACGCACATCAGAAGGGAGAAAGGGGCTTAGGAAGACACGAGATGATGCCGTTGGCTCTGATTCCAGGTGTGCCTTTTCACCTTGCGGCTCTCCTTGTGACTTAGATGGATTGTGTCACTGTTAAGATTCAGACCTGAATGACGAGAGAGCTGCGTGAGGAAGGGGGGGCCATTGACTTGAAAAGAACTGCAGGTGAACTAAGTCACGTCGGCAGGCTTGGAGAGCCCCACCGGTATCCCCTCTGGGTGGTGGCCAAAGCTTTCAATGAAGTGGTCCCGTCAGCAGCAAGTCAGGGGCGGCTGTGCCTGCCTTCTGAAGGCCCCCCCCCAAACTTGGTCCATCATTTCTGGAAGCAACGAGAACCAACAAGGCGATGGGGGACTTTCCTGGAGGGAGAGGCGGGCTCGGCTGCCGGACTGGATCTCTGAGAAGCGAAGGAGCGGAAGGGAGCACCTCTTGATCCCTGTTTTTCCTCTCCCAGGAGAACCACGGTCGCCCAGACGTCCTGGATCAGATTTATCGGAACAACCCCATCCTCCGCTACACCGCCGGCCCCATCTACGCGCCCCTGCTGCCGTTCCCTTACGGAGCTGGCGAAGGGGCAGGTGAATGGCTGGGCCTGGTGTCCACGCTCCGCTTATGGGGCTGGAGGGGGGGGGCACGGGGCCGGGCCGAGGGGCAGCCTGGAACCTTGGCCAATGGCTCCTTTCCTCCCTCCCCCCCCCCGGGTTCTGCAGAGGCCAGCAGCCGCGGTTACGCAGCCCTTCGCGATGAAGCAGTGAAGCTGTTCCATTCGCTGCAGCAGCTGGAGGGGGTGCGGGAGCCGGCCCTCCTCGCACAGGGGGTGCTGCAGACCTGCCTTGACCTCCCTCCCTTGGTGGACGAGATCTACTGCCAGCTGGTGAAGCAGACCACCCAGCCGCCTGCGCCGGGGACCCCGCCTGACCTGCGCTACTGGCAGCTGCTGGCTTGCATGAGCGGCACCTTCCAGCCCTCCCCGCCCGTCCAGGGCTACCTGCAGCGGCACCTCCAGCGGTGAGGAGGGGGAGGGAGGGAAGGCCGAGACCCGAGGGAGGAGGATCCCTGCTGCCAGGAGGGAGAGGGGCACTCCCGTTCTTCTTTGGAGGCGCCAGAGGCAGGGTGACCAGTGTTACCTCTAAGCTGAGTTAGTGTGAGCCAGCTCAGTTTTTTAATCTCCGGCTCACACATTTTTTGTCTTAGCTCAGGAAGGAGGGCTCCTGAGCAAACTAATTTATGCCTGAGCCAAATGGCTCGCTCACACCTTTAATGCCAGTAGCTCATAAAGTAGAATTTTTGCTCACAGGACTCCGCAGCTTAGAGGGAACGTTGCCGGGTGACCCGGCCTGCTCTTGGGGGTTTCCTAAGGAGGAGTCTTCCTTGGGGTGGGGCGCTGGGCCGGGCTCTTGCGAGTGGGATCGCGGCAGCCGCCGTTGTGCGCCTGAAGCCAGTCTTCCTCATCCCCGGCAGGACAGAGAGCCGGTTCCCAGGCTCAGAGATGGCCCAATACGGACGTTTTATCAAGGAGGCTCTGCGCAAGACTCAAGGGCGGGAGTGTGTGCCATCGCTGGAGGAGATCGAAGGGCTGATGGGACACCAAGAAGTGGCACGCCCCATGCCGCGCCGTGGCACGGCCCCCTGCCATGTGACCATCGCTTCCCACACCACAGCGCAGGAGGTGAGCAGATGTCAGGGGGTTTTTATCCATGGGCCCCGGGAGCCTGATGGGTTGCAGAAAGGGGTGGGGAGGGAGGGGAAGTCTTCCTCAGGAGAGCTGAGAACCCCCCCCCCCTGTGCATCACAGGCCTCCCTCACGGGTGCCACTGAGTTGTGGGTCAGGACAGCAGAGGTGGGGCTTCCCTCTTCCATTCCTACTCCGTAGTGCCAGCAGAGCCCCCTGCCGTGGAAGCCGCACCCCCACCCCTGCCCATCCCTGAGCACGTTTTGACCCTGTCTGTGTCCCCCCTTTGCAGCGCTGACGGCCCTCCTGCTGGGCGTGGCTGGGCCCCCTCCTGTCACTCGCTCTGTCTCCTCCTCCTCCTCCCGGGAGCTGACGTCACACCTGGGCCCGGTATGCAGCCCCAACCTGTTTGCCCTGTATGACTACCCCCCCCCTGCAGAGGATGCCCTGGCGGCAGACGCCCTCAGCAGGTTTGAAACGTCAGTGGGGGCCTTTGCTGCAACTGAAAGGGGAGGAGGGGCCCAGGAGCCGGGACGGACACACCCCGGCAAGTCCCATGTCTCTGTGGCCGCCGCAGAGGCGGTCCTGCAAACGTGCAAATGGTGGTGGCAGTTTCAGAGCTCGAGGGGGCCGTGAGCGGGTGACTGCAGCGGTGGGGGCTGTCAGTACGAAGGTCTGTGCCCCCCTCCCCTTGCGGCTAGCGGAAGCCGAATGCTGTGTGCAAGGAAGCACACGAGGGGCACGCCTGTTTTTGAAAATGTGAGACGTGGGTGACGAAAGCCCGTGTGTGACTTTGGCTGCATACTAGGGATGGAGGCGTGTCGGCCGGCACCAGGAGCAGAACTGCTGCTTTCTGTGACTCCGTGTTTGTCCCGACAGGGAGAGGGCGGCCTCCGCAACTGGGACCACGGCTCCCGCTGAAGGAGCGACAGGGCCGGCTTCTGACTCCTCCCGGGAGAAAGGCTTCCCCAGAAAAGATCACGCGAAGCGGGGAACAGAACACTTTACCCTTGACGGGACAGGCCCTGTCAGTGCACCTTGATGAAGCAATTGCATAGATGTGAAAGTAAAGAACATAGGAAAGGAAGGCAGAGATGCTGGAATCTGGCGGAAGCGGTGCAGTTATGTGCCCCTGGAGAACCGCTTCCAGAGAGACCCATAGGACAGAGGCGTGGAGACCACAGACTGTAGACACCCACCCCCCACCCCCCGTGGAGTATCCCTTCAGTCATCTGAATCCCCCCAGGCTGAGAGGCTCTAGCCTCTGGCAGGTATCGTGGAATACTTGCTTGGCTTTTGGTGAAAACTTAGAAGTCCAGGTGTTTCGTTTTGCAACGCAGAGGGGAAAGCACGAAGAACTTCACTGGGCCTGGCGGAGTGGAGACTAATGCTACATGAGACTCTCCCCAATTTTTGAGCCGCTTCCCTATTTAGGAGAATCCCACTTCAGACAATAGCAGGTCCCTATTCTGGCCTCCGCCGCCACCGTGAACCAGAAGGGTCTTGATCTTGTGCTCAGCTTAAGCTGGGGAGTCAAAAGGAGGCCGAACACACCCATCGACTCCAGGGAAGGGGGAAAGGACGCCAGGAGGAGTGGGCTGGACTGGGGGTGGGCATCCCTGCACTGGTGGGCTGCCTGTCTGCCCTAGCTCGGCTGGGGAAGCCCCCTTGCAGACTCTGCGTCAAGCATTATGGGTGCCTGGACGGAGACCGCACCTTCCACAACAGCCACGCGGGCGCACTGCTGTTTGAGCAGGTAAGGGAAGGGCCCTTCCGAATGCCCTCTCCCCTCCGTTTTCTGTGCCCCCTTCTCTGAGGAACAGCCCTGTGACCGCAGGCAGGCTTGCAGAGCCGGAACGGCAGCTTCTCTGCCCGCACGCCTTCCTGTTGCTGGGCCGGCTGCACTCCTGCCCCAAGGCTTCCCCTGCCCCCCCAGCAAAAGCAACATCTGCAGGGGTGCAAGTGGGAGGGGTCATTGCAGTGGGAAGGCGGGGGGGGGGGCTGGCTGGAGCCCAGGGCTGCCTATGTCGACCCGGTGGGGGAGGGGTCAGGCTTGGTGCCACTCTTTGATGTAGCCGCTTGTCGGGTGAGTTCTTGCACCTGCATTTTCACACTTCAGGCATAACTTTCAGCTGTGAGGGGGGGGGCATTCAGGAAAGTGACTGTGAATGGAAAACTGCACAAGAGAGGGTGTTGGGGGAGTTTTGTGTGACGGTGGGGGGGGGGAAGGAATGTCCACCCACCACTTGGGAAAAGGGACCTGCAGGTCTCGCTGCTGGTGTTCTGCAGCCTGATCTTGGTGTGGCAAGATCCGCATCCCCTGTCTGTCTCCCTCCCCAGGGCCAGGCCGGCCGGCCGGCCACCGTGGCTCACCCTCAGCCCCAAGACAGTCTTCCTCTGCTGCCCACTGGATGCTTTCAGCTACGGCTGCGATGGAGCCCTGCTGCACCTGAGTCTGGGCGATCAGGAGCTCCTCCTGCACACACACCCCCTCCCCACAGGTAGGAGGACAGGAGGTCAGCGGGGTCTCGTGGGAATCCAGCGTGTGGTCCAGGCTCTCAGGGGGTAGAGCGGGACACCCTATTTTGGTATGCAAGAAAAACCAACACAAACAATCTCAGTCTGATTTTAATGACGTTATGGAAATTGGGCACATTTTAACAACTACATGAGATCATTACTCCCACCCTAGTTTCTACTGACGGGGTTTCCTTTTGTAGAGACGGGAACCTGCCTGCCAGGCAGGCAGGAGAGGAACAGCAGCAGGGAGGCCTCCCAAGTACCCACAGCCGGAAACGGACCTCTCATGGCAGGGGCAGGGACCTCTTGGGGGAATAAAGGCCAAAAAAAAAAGCAGCCCGCGGTTTGTGTAGAAGCATGCCCCTCTTCAAGTTTCGGGCACAGTGAAAGTGAAAAATTGGGTGCCTTTGGCCCAACAAGTATTCATGGTTCTACCTACAAAGAGGGCTGGACAGGCTTTTTCAATGTGGAAGGAGTTTTGCTATCCACATGTCCAGGTTTGCCACAGAGCGTCTGAGGGTGCCATAAAAGGGTGCACATTTGCCTCTGGAAAAGTGACCTTGGGCCGTTGGTAGCCGTTCTTCACCCTTAGATGATCTGGGCCCCCAGAGCCAGCAGGAACTTGCGTGAATCTGATTACCCAAGACCACTGGCATCCCCCATGTAGGTGGAGATTGCGTCTGCGAGCCCCAGGACGTTTGACAGTCCCGCTGACCACTTCTACAGTCTCACCCTGCAGCATCCACACTGGCCTCCACCTTAACAGCTAAACTTCCCCCCCCTCCCTCTGTGAAAGCTGAAATTTTTAAAGACCCAGATCTTCAC